AGGATACAAAGGAAATCATCTCTGGATGAACAAGATTAACTGATTAAAAAAAAAAAAAAAAAAAAAAAGACAAAATAAGGTCCAGAGAATGAAAAATACCTGTATTTCAGAACAACTCCATTTTATCTAAAAAGTCCCATATCATTACCAGTTTGTTTTCAGTCTCTTAATGTGCTTACCACCCTTTCAGGCAATACGTATGAAAAATTTACTGGGATTATATTATGATTTATATCCAGACTCAGAACATGTATTAAATGGTGATATTGTGATTAATCTGCTTTCCATATTTCACTGATATTTTCTGTGTAGTTTGTCATTATCAACTTGCATGGAGTGTAGTAGAATTTGCCTTAGTGTTTCAATTCAAATAGAGATCCTAATTCAGATGCTAACACTATATGCCTGAAATAGAATATATCATGTTTGGTGATTTTTCTCTTCTGTTTTATCTAAGACAAAAGGTTTTTGGTAATATATTGTGATAGTCCTATTAACTAGAGTGAACAGAACAGGTTATTAGGGTATATTTCCTTGGTTTCTGATTGGGAATGTAAACCAAGAGAAGTGAGAAATACCTCCTAGGATTTGTTTTCTATCATTAGCAAGCCATCTAATTTTGGATTTCTCTCTTAATCTCCCTGAGATCCAGTATCCTTAATGTAAAATAGGGAGATTAGGCTAGAGCAGTGGTTCTCAAATGTGATTTGGGGAAGTCCTTGAGCCCTTGGAAAAATACTCAACATCCAAGCTGTTTTTTTTTAATACTAAGACATGATATGCCTTTTTTACTCCTTTTCTAAGTGTACTGAGGAGTTTTTCAATACTACGTGATTTGTGCTAATAGACTGAATGCAAAAGCAGATATGAGAATTCAGTTCTCTTCTGTTAAACCACATATTTGCAAAAATGTAAGACAGTGCCTTTTTCATTTTTGTTTGTTTGTTTTAGAAAATGATATTTTTCATAAAAATTATTTAACATTTGATCGGTTTTATTTGTAAATGAATTAATAACATTTTAAAAATATTTCCAGTTTTAATTCTTAATATGATAAACTAGTAGCCCAGCACAGGAATCCGTGTGCCAGTAGCTCTGCCACCCTCCTGTAGCTCCCTCTGTTCCCCCACCTAGCTAGCTGCTCTGCCCCTCCGGTAGCTCTCTGCTGCCGCTTGTAGCTTGTTGCCCACCGGATCTGTGATCCGGTCTTTACAAGGTTCGTCATTACGCTTCACGTTGATCATTTGCATATTACATCTTTATTATATAGGATGTCACTGATAAAATCCTACAAAAACAAAAACTCTTTGGGGTACTCAGTAATTTTTAAGAATATAAAGGGATTCAAATAAAAAAGTTTAAGAACTGCTGGATTAGATCACAAGTTTACTTCTTTTTCTTTATGAACTCACTTCTATAAAATCCTATGCTTCTTTGAGAGCTGGTTACATTTAAATTTTTCCCTTTAAAAAGACTCAAGTATTACTATAACACATGCTACAAAAGAATCTTTTCTCCAAAAACTGGATATAATTTTTTAAGTTTTTAATTGCTTGCTTTTTCAAAATTATATGTGTATATTGTATAATTCACTACTTATAAATTTAATTTTCTATTAATTTTCACATACGTTTCTTGATATTAGAAAGTTTGAGGAGTTCAACTATAGTAAATATATATTCCTTGAATTTCAGATAAACTGATGAATGCCACACAGCTTTCTGCTCCTGTTTGATTACTCCATAGCTTTCTGTGGCTTGCTCATTATTTTTACTCCCTTCTTCAGTTGACTTAATCCCTGTCCCTGCTTCGCCCTGCATGGTAGACATGTGAGGCTAGATAAGAACCCAGACAAGTCCTATAGGTGAAACTCTACCATAGTTTTATTTAAAATGCCGTTGGTTAGAAATTTATTGAGATATCTATTCTGTACTTTTTAAAAAAATTCTTTATTGCTGAAAGTATTACATGTGTCTCCTTTTCCCCCATTGACCTAACCCCGCCTGCTCCTGCCCCCCAGCACATGCCCTCATTCCCCCTACTATGCTGTACTTTTCTAAGCAGATATTTTATAGCTTCAAAAACTTGTCATAAACCTATTGAGTTTTACCAGGTCTTCTACTTTAAATTTTTAGTAGATAGAATAAGGAGTTTGGGAGGGTTTTTTGTTTTGTTTTTCCCAACTAGACATGAAGGTTTATTACAATGGAAAGAAAAAACTAATCAAACTCTTATTTATAGAAAAAAAAAAGATAAGTTTTATAATAGAAGGGAATTGCATTTACCTCAACATCTAATATTCTCAGTTGGTGTCCAGTAATCACTTGGTAAATATATCTGTAAGTAAGTGAATGAATGGAGCAGGATTTAGAACTCTTAAGTAAATAATTAACTCTTAGATGGTTTTAGAATTTCCTTTATTAGAAAAAAACAATGCTAACTACTGGCAATGTTGTCACATAAAATTAAATGTCAGCTGGAGTTTCTGAAGTATACTTCACCCTGCCAGGATACTGGGGAGTCTGAAAGACCTCTTCATCTGTTTGCCAAATCAAGCCCTGAGATGTCCTCTATCCTAAGATAGGCAAGTGCTCACTCTGGCTACATCCTAGCAAAAGGCATCCTAGTGCAGCATGACGTGAATGCAGCCTCCCTTAGCTCTACTTGAAAGAGAAACTCTGTTATCCTTACTGCCAGCTCTCCATATCAGCCAAATACTTTCAAAAGAAATATTTTCTCTTTGAGGGACCAAAGGTCATGTTAGTCCAGGACTGTGGAGAACGAAAGCTCAGTGAGTCATCCATAAAACATATGGATGAAAAAAAATATTGTCTTCTTCCAACATAAAATCACATATTAACACTGCCTCTGTATTTTATTTTAAATTATTTATTTATGCTATACATACAAGTCATTACTGCATGTGAGTAGTGTTTATGAAAAATTCAAATTAATGATAACAATACCCATTGCTTAAAGATGTTTACCAAGCTTCCCATTTTATGGACTCTAAGAAACTAAATATGGAACTTCATACTGAAGGTCCTCCATAAACATTTACTTTGCATCTACTGTGTGCCAAATACTATGATAGGTGGTTAGTAGTATTTATATTGTAAGTTAAACCCATTATACTTACTTAATCCAACAAATTTCCATTCTAGATTTCCCTGTATTTTTATGTTTGAAATGTTTCAGCATTTAGCTTTTTGCATATTGCTCAATAGCTTAATATCCAATGATGTATCACTCCTCATCTTATTTTTTCAGAACAATTTATGGACAAAGGAAGGAAGTAGAAAGCAAGCCACGCTTGTCATCAGCTTCAGTTTGACCTGATATTCCGGTCCTCTATTCTTTTTTTCTTTGCAGACTTACTTTTTACCTATTCTTTAATGACTCTCCAAACAACATTACCTGTAGCTCAGACTTTTTCTAAGCTCCAGACCCAATCACACATAGTCATCTCTACCTGAGATTTCCCATGTCCTTCTAACTTGCTATATTTCTAACTTAATTTCCTCTGAGGGAATGACTTTACCATCTGCTGAGTTGCTCAAATTTATATTCCTTCCCCCACATGGAGCAGACTATCTTCTCCCTTCTCTTTCTTTTTTTTTTTTTTTTTTTAAATATATTTTATTGATATTTTACAGAGAGGAAGGGAGAGAGACAGAGAGCTAGAAACGTCGATGAGAGAGAAACATCGACCAGCTGCCTCTTACACACCCCCTACTGGGAATGTGCCCGAAACCAAGGTACATGCCCTTGACTGGAATTGAACCCGGGATCTTTCAGTCCGCAGACCGACGCTCTACCACTAAGCCAAACCGGCTTCGGCTCCCTTCTCTTTCTTTGATGTCTGTCCAATCTGTGCTCATTACATTGTCCCAGCTGCCTCTTCCCTGGTCCAGATCTTCATTATTTTTTTTTTTTTGCAGACTGTTCCTGCATCTTTACTCATTCATTGACTAATTGATGTAAAATATACATAACAAAATTTACCACCTTAACCCTCTGACTGATTTTTGACATATGAATTTTTTTTTTATTGTTTCACATATTTAAGCTGTGATTAAATGGTAGTATTGAAGAAATTATTTCAAACCACTAAAGATTGTAGGCTTCATTATTGAGAGCAAAAGAAATCCATATTTGCTGTGTACATCACAGGAACTTAAAAACTCCTCACCAGGAAAACGAAAAGTAGGCCACAAAACTTTTTTTTTTTTTTTTTTTTTGTAGAAAATGGGGCACTGGAGTTGTGTAGTTAATAAATTTAGTATTAGAATGGCATCATATACTGAGTGGCCAGATTAGTATGATATCTGAATGCATAATAACCTGACCACTCAATGCATATGTGTGTGTGTGTGTGTGTGTGTGTGTGTGTGTGTGTGTATGTATATACATACATACACACATACATATACATATATATATATATATTAGAGGCCCGGTGCATGAATTTATGCATGAATGGGGTCTGGCCAGCCTGGCCAGGGGGAGGGGACATGGGTGGTTGGATGGCTTGCCTGCTGGTTGAACTCCTGGTCGAGAGGACAATTTGCATATTAGCCTTTTATTATATAGGATATACACTGAGTGGCCAGATGATTATGCATTCAGAGATCATAATAATCTGGCCACTCAGTGTATGTTTATACACTGGATTGAACGGTCACTAGCATTAGCATAAGGTAGAACTCTCCAGCTGTCAGCAGATAAGTGTGATATCAGAGTGAGTGCCAATTAAATAAGGAATTTTGAGTTTTCCCTACATTTTCTAAAATAACTTATCTAATATGTGATAGGTAATTTGGGCTCACTAAAGATTTGAGGTTACAATACTAATATATTTCTAAGTTCTGATTGCATACCCACAATACTGATTTTTACAATATCTGGTAAGGTTCTTTATACCTTTAAAACACTCCTTTTGTGAGTTGTACTTGATGAGAATTTCTTACATCATAGCAGATACAAATTTCCATTGTTGCTGACATTTAGTAAAATTTTTATTCACATTGAACATTTCCTCATCACACACAAGACTCCTCAGAATTTCTCTTGGGTTAAACCTTCATTATAACAATTGAATCCATGTTTTTCTCTCCATTGTGAGTGGTTTTTTCTCCTTCTTACAAAAGTTGAGCATTAAAACCTTTTTCATAATCATCAATAGCATTCATAAGCTTTTTTCCAGTATAGTGTCTCTGGTACTGAATAAAGTTGGTATATACACTAAAGGTTTTCTCACATTCATCACATCTAGATTGTCTTGGCCAGAATGGACTTTCATATGATCAATAAGTTCAGAGAGTTGGGTAAAACTTCTGCTGCACTGAATACACCAGTGTGGTTCCTCCCAAGTGTGGATACTCTGATGTTCAACATCAGCGCATGTGCTGAAGGCTTTCCCAGAAGTATCACCTCTATAAGGCTTTTCACCATTGTGATGGTTAATGAGATCAGAGCGCCGACTAAAGCTTTTGCCACACTGATCACACCAATATGATTTCTCCCCAGTGTGGATCCTCTGATGTAGGATGAGAGCTGAGCACTGACTGAAGGCCTTCCCACACTCATTACATTTGTATGGTTTTTCCCTGGTGTGGGTTCTCTAGTGTTTGATAAGGTCTGAGTTCTGAGTGAAACTTTTGTTGCACTGCGTGCAGGGTATGGTTTTTCTCCAGTGTGAATTCTCCAATGAAGAATAAGGTCAGAACTCTGACTGAAGGCTTTCTCACAAGTATTGCAATGATAGGGCTTCTCCCCAGAGTGCACTCTCTGACGTTTAGTGAGGTCTGAGCTCTGACTAAAACTTTTATTGCACTGATTACATGCATATGGTTTCTCTCCAGTGTGGATTCTTTGATGTTTAACAAAGTCTGAACAACGACTAAAGCTCTTAGAACAATCACTGCATGGATAAGGTTTCTCTCCAGTGTGGATTCTCTGATGTAGAATAAGGTTGAAGCTTTGACTGAAGGTTTTCCCACACTCATCACATTCATAGGGTTTCTCACCCGTATGAATCCTATGGTGCTTTACAAGATCTGATCTTTGACTAAACATTTTACTGCACTGGTTACATGGATAAGGCTTTTCTCCAGTGTGAATTCGCTGATGATTAATAAGATCTGAAAGTCCGCTGAATGTTTTGCTACACTGAGTACACGGATAGGGTTTCTCTCCAGTGTGGATTCTCTGGTGCAGAATAAGGACTGAACTCTGATTAAAAGCCTTCCCACATTCATTACATGTATAGGGTTTCTCTCCTGTGTGGATCCTTCGATGTTTAATAAGGTCTGAGTTCTGACTGAAACTTTTGCTACACTGATCGCATGTATATGGTTTCTCCCTGGTATGGATTCTCTGATGTAGAATAAGATCAGAGCTCTGACCGAAGGCTTTCCCACACACATCACATTTATATGGTTTTTCACCAGTGTGGACTCTTTGATGTTTTATAACATTAGAACTCTGACTAAAATGTTTGTTACAATGGTTACATGTATAAGGCTTCTCTCCAGTATGGATTCTCAAGAGTTTAACCAGGTCTGAGCACTGGCTAAAACTTTTATGAGAGTGACTGCATTGATAGGGTTTTTCTCCTGTGTGGATTCTCTGATGTATAATAAGATCTGAACTCTGACTGAAGGCTGTCCCACATTCATCACATTTATATGGTTTTTCACCAGTATGGACTATATCGTTTTTCACCAGTGTGGACTCTTTGATGTTAATAAGGTCTGAGCTCCGACTGAAACTTTTAATACACCAATGACAAGGATAGGGTATCTCCCCAGTATGATTCTTTGATGCAGAACCAGGCCTTCCCACACTTATCACATTCATAGGGTTTTTCCCAATGGTTTCTTTGGTACCTAATGCGCCCTGTACTCCAAGCACAGCTTTGTCCACATTCATCACATTATGCTGTCTTCTTTTAAAGATGATCTTATCCTTTTCATTTAATGTATCCCCCAATTCACAGAATTCTCTGCATTCAGAATCCTGGAGAACATCGGCTCTGGGGTTGTCAGACTCTTCAATCAATGGTTCATTTTCTGCTGTGATTTCTTCCTCTGAAGCCAGCTCTCCAATCTTGGTCTTGGTCTTACTATCTGGCAGAAGTGGGTGGTCTTGAGCTTCAGAATTGAACGGTATCTCCATGGGCTGCCGCTGCACACCTGACCCTCAGGAGCACCCGGAGCATCACCATGGCCTCGGGGGCTTTTCTTGTCCAGGTTGGGCTCTGAGACCCCGAGGCAACTGGGCACCACCGGGCTGGGGAGCGAATCACTGTGGGCCGGGAGATACAATTCCTGACACCAGGCTGCCAAAGCATGTCCTCTAGATGTAAAGAAATAAAGGAGGAAACAAAACCTCCTATGCAAACTTACTACGTTTCCTCTCTCATCACCCAGGCCTCAGGCAGTACCCCTCGGGGAGGTGTCTTCTCCGTTCGGAGCCTGGTGACCTTCAAACCCCATTGGGGGGCAGTGACAGCCACGTCAGGTAGAGCGTCAAAGACCAGACACTACTGTTTGCTTCCATTCCACCTGTCGAGCCTTCATTGCGGAGTCTTCTTCCTCCCCTTCATGCCTTCAGGCTGCTTTTCCCAGGCGGTGAGGGCTGGCTCGTGCAGAGGCAACCAAGCTTCTGCCCCACCCACCCTCAGTTCCCAATGTTCATTCAACGGAACCCAAGAGCCAGCAAAGACGGCCTGACCCAGCTCGCTGGGCCTAGGAGCCTCGCCCAGGGGCGACCCCGGCGGCCTCGCCTCCCCACGGTCTCAGGAAAGCACACACGGCTCCCTGGTGGCGACGCGAGCTGATTTTTGACATTACTAAGAGTGACTTTTCAAAAACAAATTTGGTCATGTCTATTCAAACTTCTTTTGGAGTTCCCCATCACCTCTAGGATAAAATTCTTAACCTTACATGCAGTCTTTCACAATTTCCCTAGACTACACTCAGGCATATTTTCTTGTGCTTCCTCAAGTGTGCAATGCTGCTTCCCACCTCCTGTCCAGAGTGTCTGCAGCTCCTTCTGAACCGAATGTCACTCACACTCAATCTGCCTTAGCAGAGCCTTACCAGTTTTCATACCTCACTTCCCTTGTGTGCAATGTGTGTGCCCTCCTTAGAGTTGAGGCTTGGTTAATGCTGACATGTCCATGGCTTGGGTTGACCCCCAGACTGTTTGTGATATTTGGCCACTGTATGAGCTGCTTTGGAGGGGCTATGCAGGTGACTGACCCCCAAAATCAGAATTTGCCACAGTAGGGTTTATTGCTGGTTGAGGCCACCCTTTGGGTGTGCCACTGTGGAGATAATTGGGTGGTGCTCTGTTGTGGTCTGAAACCAGACCTCAAGTGTTTTGGTTCTGGAGCTTCTTGGGAAGGACACTGATGCAGTTAAATTTTAGATGCTGCCTGTGGCCAATTCATGATTAGGAGGGGCTAAGCTTGGAACCAAGGTCAGCTACCACCAGTACTGAGCCTGGAGCAAGTAGGCAAAAACCCAAGGCATCCTGAGATCCACTGCTGCATGCTGGCTGCCTATTAGGCTTACCCACTGAAAGCCTCAGATAGTACACGAGTTGCATGCATGAGGCAGGTCCTCAAGGAGTCATTCACCAGGTAGGAGTGAGTAGTGTTCACCAGGTTAACAGACTCAAAGTCAGCACCAGTGCTGGGTCTGAGGCCACTCAGAAAAAGTCTCAAGAGTTCCCCAAGGCAATTGCCTGGGGCCTGCAGATCTTTGTGGTGGGATGGGGTCTAAGGGTGGAGTTAGTAGAGTTCACCAGGCTATAGCAGATTACTATTTGGCCATATGGTGGGAGGGCTCAACACAGGAAATGTGGTACCTGTCAGCCATGTGAGAAGATGGGTAGGGCAACTAAAGCCACACAACCTCTGTGAGGTCTGGCACCCCCATGCCATTGACCAGAATTCCTGAGTTGTTGTTTTTTCAAGACTGAAATGTGGGCCTAGACTGGTTCCTACTGTCAGGGCCTTTGGCTGTGTGGGATTAGGGAATTGTCAGGGTGGAGCTACTGTGCTTCACCAGGCTAATGCTCAAACCAGGAAAGATTGTGCCCATGGGCCATGAGTAGGGAAGCTCAATACATTGTCACTGGAGGCCATCCCTCCAGCCGTGCCCTGAAGACACACCACTCAAGTCTCTCCTGTGAATCTGGCACTGCCCCAAGCTGATGTTGGAGCTGATGGTGAGTGGCTGCAAGTGAGTTTCTGGGCTATCCTTTAAGGTGATACCTGGTTTTCTAGTAGCCTTCCAACTCACTTGGGCAGATAGAATCCCCACTGGGATTTTCTTCACTTAAGTGATTATTATATATCTCCCCCCCCCCCCCCCATCCCCCCATTAAGCCCAGGAGAAGGTGCTCAAAACATGTAAGGAAGGAACATACAAGGGATTGAGGGTGGGGGGAGGTGAGTAGTGGGGAGGAGGTGAGATGGCAATGGGGGCGCTAGATCACATCCAGTATGGCAAATATTCCTTCTTCTGACCTGACTGACCCAAGAAACCTTTTCACTACAGTAACCAGTCAGTCAATGGGAGGTGAAGCATAATTGAAACCTATGCCATATGATCTCTAATGCTAATATTTTATGTATCAGAAGGTAAGGCAGTTAAGACACTTTAAGAGGTTTCAGCAAAAGACTTAGGGGCAGCAGAAACCGGTTTGGCTCAGTGGATAGAGCCTTGGCCTGTGGCCTGAAGGGTTCGATTCCGGTCAAGGGCATGTACTGTAGTTTTGGGCACATCCCCGGTGGGGGGTGTGCAGGAGGCAGCTGACTGATGTTTCTCTCTCACCGATGTTTCTAACTCTATCCCTCTTTCTTCCTCTCTGTAAAAAAATCAATAAAATATATATTAAAAAAAGATTTAGGGGCAAATATGCCTTAAGAAATATAAGTAACTACTATGTGAAAACAAAATTCCTTAAAGGTCAAGTTGTTTATAAGAAAATCATTTTCCCATACAAACATTCTAATCAGAGATATATCATGACCAGATTTAGTCTTATAAAAATTGCTGAAAAACGTTTAAGTTGCAGATACAACAAAAATACTTAGCTGAAATATTAGCCAAATTCAGTTAAAATGGTCTTGAGTATAATATATATATATATATATATATATATATATATATATATATATATATACACACACACACACACACACACACACACACACACACACAAGGGACCGCAATATGCAAACATATATATCAAATAAAAAAGCAATTATCTCACTAGGATAAACATCCATTACACATTTTGTTTAAATAGTTTACATAGGCTCTTATGGGCTGAATCGGTCCCCCCAAATTCCTATGTTGAAACCCTAACCCTCAGTATCTCAAAATGTACTATATTTGTAGATAAGACCTTTAAAGGGGTAAATTAAAATGACACCATTAGAATGGGTCCTAATCCAATCTGTTGTCCTTATGAAAAGAGGTGATTTGGACACGAGAGACATCAGGAATGTGGCCATGTGAAGACACAGCAAGTGACCATCTGCGGGAATGCAGACTGGTGCAACCACTGTGGAGAACAGTGTGGAGTTTCCTCAAAAAACTGAAAATGGAACTCCCATTTGACCCAGTAATCCCACTCCTAGGAATATATCCCAAGAAACTAGAAACACCAATCAGAAAGGATATTTGCACCCTTATGTTCATAGCAGCACAATCTACAATAGCCAGAATTTGGAAACAGCCTAGGTGCTCGTCAGCAGATGAGTGGATCCAAAAACTATGGTACATCTACACAATGGAATACTATGCTGCCATAAAAAAGAAGGAATTCTCATCATTTGCAGCAACCTGGATGGAATTGGAGAACATCATGCTGAGTGAAATAAGCCAGTCAATGAAAGAGAAACACCACATGACCTCACTCATTTATGGATAATAAAGAACGTTATAAACTGATGAACCAAAAGATATACAGTAAAGCAATAAGCAAGCAGACTGTCAAATTATAGCAGGGAGGGTAGGGAGATCTGGGGGAGATAAGAGATCAACCGAAGGACTTGTACACATGCATATAAGTACAACCAATGGACACAAAACTCTGGGGAGAATACCGTATTTTTCGGACCATAAGACGCAATTTTTTCCCCCCAGAAGCGGGGGGGAAAGTCCCTGCGTCTTATGGTCCAAATATAGCCTACACATATACTTTAAAAAAAAAGTTTTTTTACTTGCCCGGCTCTGTGTGGTCTCTGTGTGCTTGCCCGGCTCTAAAATGGTTCTAAATGCTGCTGTTTACTTTACAGGGTTGATTACATGTGTTTATGACTGTGATGTTGGGTTTTAATGCACATAAAATATTTTAGGACACTATTTGTTTCAGAATCTTTTTTTCTTCATTTCCCTTCTCTAAAAACTGGTGCGTCTTATGGTCCGAAAAATATGGTATGTATGGGAGGGTGGGGGGCAATGTTAAAATATGTACACAGATAATTTAATAAAAAAATGTAAGAAAAAAAGAAGTGACCATCTGCAAGCGAGACTTGCTAAACCTCCCATACCTTGGGACTCTGGTGTCTGGAAATGTGTGAAAATAAATTTGTTTAAGCCACTAGTCTGTTATTTAGTTATGGCAGCCCTAGCAAACCAATGGGTGAACGCTGGCATCATGGGTTCCCATATACTCTTTTCATGCCTGGAATCCTTAAATTGGGGCTCTGGCAGCATCGAAGCTATCTCTTAGAACTAAGTTGAAACTTTTCCATTCCCTTGGCATTTGAAAACAGGGCATGAGGAGAACTTTTGATGTGGAAAACAAAATAAGTTTTTAATATGAAAATTTCCAAACACAGAAGAAGGAAACAGTAAACTTCCATATATCTACACCCAGATTCAACAAGCTCCAAGGTTTTCCTGTATTTACTTCAACTCTTTCCACCCTCTTTTCTTTTCATTGGCTGGCATATCATTTATTAACCAGTTAGTATTTTATTATATTGACTGTGTAATGGACATTATGTAATGACTGTAATTTACATATTTTGGCATTTGATTAAAGCTAATTCATATTAATACACAGGTAAAAAAATTGAACTGAGATAAAATATATTCTAAAATCTTTTATTTTTAAGATTAAGTTTTAAGATATTAAAAAATAATTTATTTTTTATTATAAAATACCACTTCATTCTTTTTCTTCCAAAAAGAGTGTCAGTGTGGGCATTTGAGAAACCCACCAGCTGTGATTACTAGTTCAGTTGTATTTGTTATATAATGTTCATTCACACACCAGAATCTACTTAAGAATGTATAAAATGCAACTGGATTTACAGAAATAATTTTCTAAACTACACAGGAAGTAGTTTAAATTAAAACACATGCATAAACAGTACACACAAGTTAGTTTATTTTTTTAAGTTACAATAATTACAAATAGTACAAATTGAGACATTTTTCCTGTTCCTGTGACAGAAGCTGACAACCTTCACTTTCAGTAAGGTTTTTGATATTTTGATATGATGCACATTCAGTGATATGCTGCCTTTAAAAACAATATTTTCTAAGTAATTCCAAGAGGCCTACTAGTGATATATACATGGGTCATTTACCTCAAATCTCATTTCCAGAACTACTATGTGCAAGTCCAACACAACTGGAGTAGAACAGGGTAAGAAGGCACTGAATTGAATAATCTTATTTCCCAACAGTAATTTTTCTTTTTTAAATCCTCACTCAATGATATTTTTCCATTGAGTGGTTTTTAGAGAGAGTGGAAGAGACACATCTATGTGAGAGAGACATGTCGATTGGTTACCTCCCTCACATGTCCTTACTGGGGCTGAGGATTGAGCCTGCAACCAAGGTATGTGCCCTTGACTAGAATCAAGCCTGGGACCCTTCAGTCCACGGGCCAATGCTCTAACCACTAAGCAACCAGCTAGGGCCCAACAGTAAATTTTGATTATTCTCTAAATATTTAACAAATGGGTTAGAACTAAAATAATGATTTTTGGTTTTAAAAAGTATATCTGTAATTTTTAATAGGCTGCACAATTCCACTATGGCCAATACTACCTATTTTTACAGGTTTGCTATTCTTTAAGAAACAGAATTCTACAGTATTCAATTCTGTATGCTTTTTTAATCAGAGTCACTACTACTGCTTGAGGAGTCTGTTGACATAACCTCTACATCATCTTCATTTTCTTTATTATGCCCTGGGGGTTCCAACAAAAAGTCATTACTGTGATTTGGTGGTAACATATTCATTGCCATATCATTTGACTGCCAGGGATACTGTGGAGCAAGAACATCTGGAGAAAAGAAAGAAGCACATATAAAAACACTTCTATTAATTATTTACTTCTATTAATTATTCTAGATAACTCTTCCTTCCATCAATTATTTTGAAGTAAGTTTTTTTTAGGCTAGAAATCAAAACACATTTGGCCAAATTAACAAAGATCCAATTTAATGTTTTAGTAACTAGAACCTGTGTTTTATTTTTAAAAAATCATACTTTAGCAAAAGTAAGTATATAGTCAGTAGATAATTTTTCTTTTGCAAAACATAATTACAAATCACATATTTTCTATATCTATGGTTGTATGTACATAACGTGTTTCCCCGAAAATAAGACATCCTCCTAAAATAAGACCTAGTGCATGGAAAGATAAGACATCCCCTGAAAATAAGACCTAGTGGAACTTTGGGAGAAAAAATTAATATAAGACACTGTCTTATTTTCGGGGAAACAGGGTATACAGGGCGAGGCAAAAGTAGGTTTACAGTGTGAGTATGCAACACATATTATTTTTTATTATTTACTAGAGGCCTAATGCACCAAAATTTGTGCAAGAGTAGACCTTCCTTCCCCCAGCTGCCGGCACTGGCTTTCCTCCAGCACCCGGGACCTGGGCTGGCTTCCCCTCCCCCAACCCAGCTTCGTCAGGAATGACATCTGGAAGATACCTGGTCTAATTAGCATATTATCCTTTTATTATCATAGATTCTTGTGTTACTTTCCATACAGATAACTACACCTACTTTTACCCCACCCTGTATGTTAGATGACATATTACTCTCTATATATTCTTCATATACATTATAAATAGTTAATGTATACCATACTATGCATTACAAGTTTAAACTGCTTTTTAAGTGTCAGATCCAGTCTTTTCCCTGGGTCCTAAAAACATTACTGCCTTGCAGCAGCCGCACTGTTAAGCTTTGCCAGTAGAGGGCACTGGAGGGACTCTATCAGCGGAACTGACTTCTTTTGGATCTGATGCTTCCTGTCTTACCCTAGTGGTGCCTGGTTGGTGCACAGGACAAGTGGTGCTCACCTCTTAGCCAGTGTCAGTGGTGTCCCAGAGGATGGTTTCCCAGGAAGCTTCATCATTATCCCAAAGGGTAGCTTCCCAGCAAGTCTTGCTGGAATTCTAGTGGGTAATTTCCTGTTTGCCAGCTCTGCCCTGTGACACTTAACTTCTCTGCCATCCAGTGGGCCATGGCTATACCCCCTCTACTGAGGGCACCATGGTATGGCTGTAGGCCTTGGGATGGGGAGGAACCTTGGGTACTCTGCCTTGCTACTAGATGTAGAAGCTGCTCCCCATAGCTGTTAATCCCTTAATAGTATTTTGTTACTATACTGGTTGTTAATTCTTTAAAGTTTCCTTGTCCACATTGCTGGTGTGGTTTCTGCCTCCTGAATACACCTTGACTGGCATAAGGATATAGTACAACTGAGACAGGCCACTAAGCCA